TCTCTCTCTCTCTCTCTCTCTTTCTCTCCTGGTGATGTCAATGTATTCTAGCCTGAAAGAAAACAAAATTTAGAGTGTCCTTTATTTAAATACTTTTCAAAATGTTCTGGGGGGGGGAATGGTATGGTTACTTTAAGAGTGAGAGGTCTTGGATAAACTTGTTAGATGAAATAGATGAAACACACACATTATAGGCTTTTAAATATTTTTCAAGGCAACCAAATGCATAAAGATCAGTAGGAGAAGCTGGAGTATTTCTCAACTTATAGAGAAAACAGGGTAAGATGAGAAGTAAGAAAATCCCTGAGAAGAAAAAAAGGGGGATTCACAATTCTGATAGACAGAGATTTAGTTGTTTAAAAGTCCCTCTGCAGTTTTGCCAAGCCACAAAAACAAAACAAACAAACAAACAAAAACAACAGAAAGTCAGCTTCCTGCTCATTGAAGGAGACAGAGAAGCTCTAAGTTTTAATGCTTCGAGTTTTCTGACCTGCTCAGTCTGCAGTGATAAAGAGAACCACAGATAAGCCAGAAGAGGAAAAGACACTGAAGTTCATAGCTCTTGAGGGAGCTGGTGAGGGGCTGTCACTGAACATCAGACAAACCCTGGAAGCAAAATGCAAGGCAAGTCAAAAGATTTGAACCAAAGGCTTAGCTAAGCTGGTGTGTGTTGTCTCCTGTTACAAGGTAGAGATGAAAAAGCACTAAATGAATCAGAAGTGTTAATAGTCCTTAAAGACTGACTCCAAATCCAGCAAGCTTTTATATGCACAATTGCATCTCTATGTCTGTTTGGGGAGGGGTGGAAGGAAATTCCACTTTCCCTGGGTGCAGGATGACAAGTGGCAGTGGCCACCTAGGTGGGCAGCCAGCAAAATGCCCAGTGCCAGCCTGGTAGGCCAGGGTCTTCTTTTACCCACAGAAGCGCTTTCGTAGAGTTGACATATTTTATGTTTGAAATGAAAACATAGAGGAAAAGAAAACTATTGAAAATGCCAAACCAGTGGTTAAATTGGCAGGATTTAAAGTGGCTTATTTTGAATAGTAGTTGTTGAAGAAATACAGATGTAATTAGATTCAGCTACATGGCGATTTTTCTAGCTGTTAGGAAGGAGCTTCTGGATCCCTTTAAGGATTTTACAGACTGATAGCCTGAGGTCAAGTGTTTGGTTTTAGTCTTCTGAAATGTAAGGCTTTCCTTTTCCTTGATGTCCATTTCAGCAAAATAATATTACTGTAATGCCTGTCAGTCTCTTTGCTTAGCAACACAACCACGAGGGATTGAGGAAATGAAGAGAGAAAAGTGGCTGTTCTTGGGGTAAATGAAAAAGATCCTAAATACAGAAAGGTGGATGTAGGTTGAGAAAATGTGTCTCTTAAATGAAAAAGAAAACTGATGATGAAAAGGAAAATTGAAGTGATGAAAACTGAGGTTCCCAGAGAGAAAGGATAACTGAGAAGGGTCACAGGGGCGGGGGGTTTCCTCACTGACCCTGTGCCAATGTGGAGCGAAGGGGCAGGCCACTGGGTAGAGGAGAAGGGGTGGGGAGGCCCAGGAGGAAGACAGGAAGGAAGGGAAGCGGGTAGGGACAGGTGGGAAGGAAGGTGAGTGGGAAGAGGGAGAGAGGGGGAGGGGTAAGGAAAAGGCAGAGGCCAGCTCCCCATCAAACTTCATGGTATTAATAAAGTAGTACAGAGTCTGTGTGGCCAGCATCTAAACTGCTACCCAGTTGCTACTTAATACTTATTTGTTGAACATTAAGTGAATAAACTAACAGTTACCTTTTGTATAAAAGAAACAAAGCAGAAAGTTTATCTTTTCTGGCCAGGGTCGTTAATTAATTGCAAAAGTGGGTTAAAGCAGAAAATCACATAAATGATAGACACATACCTTTAACAGTTTACTTTTAACTTAAAACACATGTACATTCACTCACCACTTTTCTGATGTGGGGCCAAGGACTTTTCTTTGAGCGGGAACCCCTGATTGTCTTTCTTGTGCAAACCACACCCATAAGCATTATCTAAGTTTTCCATTTGGGTTTTTTTTTTAAAGTGGAGTGTGAATTTAAAGACATTTGCAAAGCAATCTGAGTGGCAAATGATTCTAGATTTTTATTATTCTTACCCTAATCATTTACAGTTGTCTCATCCACACCTAATTTGCCAGCAGTTTTTTTTTTTTTTCTTGGCCCCTTGCCCTTATTGAGTCTTTCCAAGGCTTCATTTTTGTAGAAACAACTAACAGCTACTCTTTCTCCTTGTGCTCTATTTCATGGGTCTGTGGACTAGTTGAATCGTTTCTATAATAATCAAGCAATTGACATAAGCAGCTTTGAGAACATGGGTCATTCTATTTGAACACAACTCCTCTGGCGGGAGCAGAAGAACACAAGTGCACCAGGGGAAAACCTGAGGAGGTTTTTGTGGGGAGCCTGGTAGGAGTCAGCTGGATACTAGGCATAGAGGCTGGAGAAAAT